TTGATGGGAATACATCCCTGCTGAACCTGTTGTGTTTGCTTCAATTTCAGTCGCTGGATGTAGCGTATGGGGAGCCGCATCCGTTGAGTCCTCGGGAGGGTCAAAATCAAAGGGTGGAAATCATATAGGTGCAACGGACTACGCGGGAGGTAGACGCAGAGAATATTAGGTAGCAGGTATAATCCAAGTCAACGATATTTTCATACGTAGCTCTGTAATGTATAAAAACAAGTGACATGTGCTACGGCAGCTGTTAATAGTTTGTGCTCCTGCTTTCTTGAAGGTGTTGGATAAAATAACTCCCGCCATGGTGGCTCTGATAGATCATAAATTAGTTGACGTTATGAAAAAAATGCTTAAGCGGATGTCGCTGTGTGTTGACTTAGCTAATGCCTCGAGAGTGCGTAGGGGGCAGGCAATCGAGAGGGATAGACGAACGGAGAAGGATGGTGTTGCGCATGAGGAACAGGGTTTGGCCAGTTGTTTGTTGGCGAAGACACAACTGAAAGAAGGTGCAAACGTAGTTGGTAGGGAAGACCAACACGCCCATGCTGTTTCCGGTGACGGGGACTTGGACCGTTTGGTTGGAAATTTATCGGTGGCTGCACTGGTTGCACGGGCTGGGGCTATGGCCAACGTGTTAGGGGATGAATCCAAGGTGACTGGGGCTGACAGCGGTCTTCTCTCAGAGTTAAATGTCTGTTGTTCTGATCATGAAGAGGAAGATGTGAATGAGGAGCCTGGACCTGAAACTAGTGTATACTCTCTTGGGATGAGGGGAACGACTGTCTTGGTTGCTACTCGGTGCAGATTGGAAAGGTCATCTTCATCTGATGAGGAAGATTATTTTGCTGATAGGAGGGTGGTGAAACCTACCGAGGCAGCCTTGTCAGCCATGTTCACTAATGTGTAAAACACCCGTCGCCATACAGCGTTGGAGACACGTCTGCTACAGTTTGTTAAGCAGTGGAAGGACCTAAAGGATCCACTTAGGTAATTCAGAAAAGTGTATTTGAGTGTGAAAAATTTGTTTATTGTACATGCCTTTTGCAAAGTTTTTGTATTAATTGTAAATTCTAATATTTTTATGTGTATACTTGGTGTTATGATGATGGTTCACCACATAGCCGTGGTATGGTGATGATAAAGTATGGTCACATGGAAGCCAGCCAGAGGGATTGCTATGAAGTGGTGCACAATAAATCTCGGGTTTCCACTGACTACGTTAGAATGGCCTGTGTGCTATACACCAAGCAATGGGCCACCAAAGATTTTCTGAACAGAAGCAAGCGTTTTTTGCTTGACCCAAGCTTTTCGGTAAGTGGTTCGAGGTTCATTTCACCATTGGGGTGACATATTTACGTTCACATTTGATGATGATCATGCTTCTTGGTTTTATTGTCTGGATCTTAGAATCGACTGTAGTTGAATGAAGGCAAAGAAGAGAATATTTGTAGGAAGTTTGCCAAATCTCTCATCAGCTCTAACCTGTCGGATATTCGAGCGGTCAGCAACTTACTCACATAGTCCAATAATATAGCGCAAGTTTAAATGTGTTTTTCATGCATATGCGCTAAATTGTGCTTACGGCATTGACATTGGCATTTAAAAAGGTTTTTGTCCCAATCCTCGAAGTTCCTCAGGATTCCCCTGGAGATTCGCACTGGTGGTGCTTAGCTTTACACATGAAGGCTCAACAGTTATGGCTGATAGATTCCATGTACCCTGCGCCGTTCGACACAAATGCTAGGGAGATTGATCTTCTGGTACTAATGATGACTTTCATTCTAAACAAACATGGTATTTATTGGGACCATTTAGTAATGTGTAATGTGTTTGTCAAACTACAGCTTAGTGGCTTTGACATCCTTTTCCAACTCTGTAACCCAGCATGGAAGGTTGGTCACCTACATTCTTGGACCAAATGCACTGTTGAGATTTAAGACCCAAAGGATAAGTAAGAACTTGTGTTCCCTGGTTTGTTTATTGTGCCAATGACTATCTTCCTACCTTTAAGGTCAGGAGAACGTATCTTTAGCTTTCATGTTGATTGTTGTCCTCTAATATGCAGCTCATAGTATGGTGTTCTTATGCTGGCGTGTATTAAGTTCTTTGCTAGAAGATTCACCACGGGGTTCAGTGTGGTAGGTGGTGTATATATCTGCGTTTTATGTGAAGATCTCCGGAATGGTTGGCTAAAGTGTTTGTTCTGTTCTGTTCTTATAGCGGAAGATTCCTATTGCTCGGGCAAATCTGTTCTTGGACGACGTGCAGTGTGAAGTGAACAAATCGAAAGACTGTTTGGGAGATGCCATTCCAGGGACTAGAAAAACAGTGCGACGGCTGTGATGTGAGGCCTGACAAACAATTTGAACATTGCCATTTACATTCTATTGTCTTTGTAGGCATATGGTTTGTGTTGTTTGAACTTGATCAGTTTGTGTTCTCTGCACTCGATAGTATCCTCAATTTTGAGGCGTACTATGTTATTCTTATATTGCTTTTGTTTTTACTGCTTTTCTGTTTACATGTTTACATGTTAACACATGAAAATCAGACATACTCAAAGCATCGTCTTTTAAAAAATATCGTTTTTTTGAAATTGATCTCAAGACCTTGAACCGTTGTTTGTACATCTTGAAAAGGATTACAAGACCTTGGACCTTTGTGTGTATATATATTTGTCGTCTTGAAAATGATCTCAAACACAAATGTGATGAGTTTAATTACATGTTTCAAATGCTTAACAGTTTTACAAACCGTTGGAAAGAATATGCCCCCGTAATCTGTCTTCATATGCTCAAACAAACAACGAGCGGCCTAGATATGCTCAAGCTATATTTTCTTGATCATCCTATATTAATTTAACGACGCAACTAATATGGAATCGCCAACCACACAAATATTCAAGTAAATGATAATTACTTTAGCTAACTCAAATTGTCACGATATGGCCATTAGTTCATCAAGACGTTTCTGCTTCACCTGTGAGAGTTGTGATGGGTTAAATGTGAAATAATGACTGAAGTAAAATGACATGAATTTAGTATTCATACTTACATGTAGCTTCCGAGAAGACGTATTTGCCTTCCCCTTTCCCTTTGTTGTCTTCCTAAACACCAGATCCTGCAACACCATTTCCTCCTCAACACCTGCATCCTGCTCCACAACATTTCCTGCCATTCCTGCCTTTTCTTGCCTCCTCCAAAACACCAGATCCTGCAACACCATTTCCTCTTCCGACACACCTGCATCCGGCACAACACCATTTCCTGTCAATTCGGCCTTTACCTACATCCTCCTAAACACAAGATCCTGCAACACCATTTCCTCCTCCTCAACACCATTTCCTGCATCCTCCTCCTCAACACCATTTGCTCCATCCTCCTCCTAAACACAGTTTGATGCATCCTCCTCAACAACATTTCCTACTTGCTCCTGTATGATTTAGATAGAGATATAACAGCAGTCAGAAAATAATAACAGGCTGAGCAGTCAGATTCTTTAAGTATTGAAGAAAGCATAAATCTTAACCGGGCTAGGCTTCTTATTCTTGTTGGTTTTCTTGTAGCCGGTTTCAGCTAAAGTCTTGTGCCTTGAACCCTTAGGCCTGCCCCTTTTCCTTTTCTTAATTATAGGGTCCTTGATAACAAGGTCCATGGAAGCTGGACAGGAGTCTACGGCAGTAGCAGTAGGAGCAGGATTCCTAACCGAGGAAAACGTTCTGCCTTCACTTGCTGATGTCAGTGTACTGACTACAGCAACAATTTCCTTGCTCTTCTTGTCCCTACGCTCATTGACAGTTGATTGAAGCATCGACAGTGTTTCAATTACCATATGGACCGTTTGATCGTCCACCATAGCAGCGGTTTCACACAAGGGCTCGAGTTTTTGCATCATTTTGTTGAATCTTTTCACATTAACCGTGTCCCCTGGATCATGGTAGGCCACCTTCACCCTAGTGTGCTTCCGGGGTATGTCCTTCCTCCAACAGTCTACAACGTACTTCTCTGGTAGATCTTCAACCAAGTTTTCATCCAAAATCCTAATACAGTGTTTGCAAAGTATTCCACTTGTCTCAAACTTCCCACAGTCACACTACACCTCCTTTGTCATTGGACAGAAAGTAACATTGTAAGATCTTTGCCTGTTTGTAATGACATCCTCACTCGCACCGGGAGGTACTATCCATACACGATCGACCACCGAATACTGAATAAGCTTTTCAGACAAAACCTTCTCTCCTCGGACGTTGCAATACATCATTCTCGTACACTCCTTTTGAACTTCTTGAAACTTGTTGTCCGTGTATAACTTTTGGAATATTTTTCGACTCTGAATCCACTAACCAACCTCCTAAGGTACTTCGAGCAACGCGCATCTACACTCAGTTCATCTCGAACGCGTTGATCCAAGGCCATGCAATACTTTTGAGGAAACTCATGGAGTTTTGTTTTGCGGTTCACATAGCCATCAAAAAACCGATTGATGCTCTCCACCCTTTGTGTGGTCTTCATACCGGCCCAAAAAAACTCCTTCATGTACGCAGGCACCCACATATGATTGTCTTTGTGTAGGCTCTATAGCCATTCATTGTCCTCCAACTTATACTCAGCAATAAACTCTGCCCATCGGGTTTGGAACTCCTCGGGGTCAAAGCTCTCATATACCATCTCTTTGAGGGGGTTGACGAACTCTTGGTAACTAGACAAAAATGATAACAACAGACCAGCAACAACAGGTTAGCTTGTCTTTATTATGGGAATCAGATTATTACGCCTTTGAAACTAATATCAAGATCTTGGAAAATGTAAAGCCAGGAGGAGGAATTTCACAACATACCGTGCACACTTGCCAAGTTTCTCATGGATCTTGTTCATGATATGCCATATGCACCAACGATGCACCGTGTTTGGCATAACTTCAGCAAGGGGCCTCCGCATAGCTGCCGCTTGGTCGGTCAATATGGCTTTAGGAGCTCGATTGTTATTGCAAGCTAACTACTGTCGAAATATCCACGCAAACGTATTGCAGTCTTCATGTGAAACAAGAGCACATCCCAACAACAAGGATTGCCCATGGTGGTTCACACCAACAAAGTTCGCAAACGGGAGCTTGTACTCATTCGTTAGGTATGTTGCGTCGAAGCAAACCGCATCACCAAAGTCCTCATAAGCTACCCTACTTCTTGCATCCACCCACAACACATCCTTAAGCCTCCCTTCTTTATCCAAACGTTGAGCATGGAAAAAATTTTGGTTCTTGGTTTGCATTTTGTCAAAGTACTCCATCATTTCCACCGAGTCCCCTCCAACCATCTTCAACCGCCTAGCCTTGTACACCTCATGTTGTAAATCTTTTAACGTCAGATCCATGTTACCCTTCCGTTCGGTCGCCATGAAACCGTGTATTTGAGAAATTGGTACACCGTGCTCGTACAAATCTGTCAACGTCTTCTTCGCTTTGCAGGTCATTTTCCTCATGCGGTACTCCTTAACAAGCTTATAATTTTCCGGATCAATCGCGTGATTATGCTTTAGTTCCACGCTCTTCAACTCCCACAAGCCATCTTCGTTAACTTTAGCATAAGCACGGGCCTGACATTCGCACTTTTTCCAAGTCCTCTTCATACCACTTAATTCATCCTCACATACCACCCCATCAACTAAACCACCTGAACCTCCATGACTCATTGCCTTTGCCCTCTTCTTCGCTTCTCTCCTAGCCCTCATGTCGGGTTTTCCCCAACACTCACACTTCCACGTGACTTTGATTTTTTTTGGGTCCCCCGTCTTAGAATTTACACCTTGAGCCCTTTTCACTCCAAACCCCATCTGCTCAGCATAATCCTTATAGTAGGCTTCAACCTGTTGCCAACACTGGAAAACCATCCCTTCCTTAGGCTCCTCAACAACTACAGCTATTTCGTTGCTACCAACCACAGTGTGAGTCGTATGAATTGTTTCCGGTGGGGATAAATACCTAACATCCATGTCAAGTGCACAACTACCTGCATCATCTACGTCTTCTATATCCTCCTCCATATGGACTTTACTCCGAAACTTAACTCCACTGCCACAATCACCAACACCAACCTCACTAAACCTTATAACGCTTTCTATTTCAATTTCCATAATAGCAAGATCTTCTCCAACAACAACAATTCACCCTTCAAATAACGAACACCAACATAATTACTACGATACAAATTAATCCAGAACGCCAACATAATTATAATATTAAATTCAACACAAATCAACCAAACACGTTTTCACAGCACACATTCAACCCATCACAAAAATATAACCAACCGACACAAATCAACCAACCAGTTGAACAACCAACACAACCAATCTTCACATAAACTAACAAATCAACACAGGGAATTTTTAATAAAATCATACGAAGACAACACGTTGTTCTCAAAAAGTAAGAAATTGCATTTTAAACAAAATTCGTCGGCCATTTCCGGCAACCTCAACCCCATTTTAACAGACAAAAAGGTCCTTAAAATCCAATTGCTTTCAAAATTATTCCGACTTCGGTCGAATTTATGAATTCAATTTCATGAATTGTGGGCGCATGACAACTACAGAACAAAACTGAAGAATGCAACAAGCGACGATAAAATAGATCAGAAAAATACCTCGCAATTCGAAGATGTCCGTGTTTTTTTCAACTGGGCTTGTACAATTCGGCGATGTGCGAAGAACAAATCTAATTCTCCGAACAAGCTGCGTGTTTTATCAACTAGGCTTGTACAGTTTTCCGATGTGTGAAGAACATAGCTAATATTTTCCCGCCAAATCCGGAAGGAGTTAACGCCATCACTCCAACAGATTGACGGAAGGATGGCATAGAAAAATCCAACTCAGCAGCTTGACACATAGACGATTCCAGCTCAGCAAGTCAGGAAGTGGAAAACTTCCACTTAATTTCTGAATTGCCACTGTGAGTAACAAGTTTGTTACTCACAGTGAGTAACAAGGAATTAGCGATAAACAAGAGTCCTAGATGGCATACTCAAATATCAGTAATCTTGAGTTACTTTTCAAAGATGGCATACTCAAATATCAGTAATCTTGAGTTACTTTTCAAGAAAGTGTCGAGTAAGGAGAGCTTTCCTAGCTAGTGAGGTAACTAATCTGCCTAAGGTTGACGATATGGAGGATGGAGACATCTTTACCTCCTCAAAAAATGTTAATCATGCGGAGCCCAATTATCGGTTTGTTAACCGTAGAAGGCTGGGTTCCACTCTTTCAATGTCAAAAAGGACTATTTATTATTAAAGCAGGCGAAAACTTCCCTTTGCTTTAATTCAAGGCAAGGATCTTTTATATATGGTTGTTCGAATGGCTTCTAAGGCAAGGAGCAACTTTAAGGAAGGAGGAAACCAGAGTAAGAGTCCTTCCTATCTGCATCAAGTATTGACAAAGAGCCACTGAATGAAAAGGCTAGTGTCATCATTGATAACATAGGAGAGTAGACTAGGGAGGATCTTGATTAAAGGAGCGACTTTCTACCCTAGCACAAGGAGGGGGTAATGGAAACAAACGAAGCTCTAAGCAAAGATGTGCATCAACAAGATGATGTTCTATGTAGGTCCGAGTCCTATAGTGATCCCTTCTTTCTGGCACAAAATCTTGAGCAAAGTTGTAAGAAAACCCATGAATCAAAAGCAAGGAATAATGAGGCCCATCCGCAAGCAAAGCATCCTCCATGGAAACAAGTAGCTAAAGGAAGCAGCTTCTCCAAGTCTTAATCTCACCCTAACTTTGTTTGCAAGTATCATATAGGAGATAAAGAGAAAAGATTCAGCCCTCTACTCGTCAAAATGCTCCACCCGTCCAAGGAAGCAATTTTTTTATGGTTATTCTAGTTTTCCTACAGTTTGTAATTCTTATTATGTTAATTGTGCTAGTTGTAATATGGTCTGATAAAGTCTATAACTCGTGAAATGGACGTAGGCAAAAAGTAGAGAGTTTAGTTGTGTCTTGTTTACACCACTATCCCCAAAAAAAAAAAAAAAAAAAAAAAAAAAATAGTTACACACCCTTAACTCTATCATTGAACCTTATTCCACGTCATTCATTTTTCATATACATGTAAAGTTAAAAGTACAATCACTAGAAACATAAAACACTCTTCAATATCATAATACAAAGTTAAGAACTAAATAATGAACTACAAATGTAATTTTACTTGCTCTTTTATCATTGGGAAAAAAATTAATAATAATAATAAAGACAATATAATATAAGGTCCCGTTTCCTTATAAAATATATATATATATATATATATATATATATATATATATATATAAGGTGTCGTTCACTTCACCTTATTTTTACTGAATTGAAATTAATTTTGCTGAACTTAATTTATTTTTACTTAGGAAAAATGGAAATTAATAATCTCACCTTTGTCATTTCTACTCAAAACAATCCCACCTTTTTTAAATCTGAAAACAATTCCACCTTTAACCCCTATATTCTCAAAAGAGGCCTTTTGACCTATAACCTATTAAACAAGTTAATTTTTATTTTTATTTTTATTTTTTTTGTAACTGTCTTATTCAAGCTTAAGTTCCTCCTCCTTCAAGCTCCTTCCATGGCCACCACCCCTTACCCGAAATCCGGCTACAGCAGCCACCCCTAAACCAGACCATCCACGAAACCCCTAAATCCGACAACCTCTTACCCGAAATAAACTTCAAATTGCCACAATCAAAACGAAAATCAGTTATCAGCACTATATATTTTCCTCAAATACTACAACCGCAGAAGTTCCATCACTCTGAATATCCAGATTCAAAGCTATAATTTTAACAACCCCAATTGAAGGAAACGTGTCTTCAATTAAATGCATTGAAAATGCTACTTCATCCCGCAGTAAACTTGCCGAAAATCTCTCACTGCTGTTCTTCATTTCCATATTTTCCTAACGAAATTGACACCCATTTATTCTTCATTCACCATTTTTACTTCTGAAAAATGCTCATTTATAATTTATTTGCATCACCAGTAATTACTAATTATAGAAACAAGAGCAAGATTTCGGTTACCATCTTCAAAAACTAACTTTGATTATCATCTAGATTAGCTTTAAATGTTGGGTTAGCTAGACAAATTTTTTTTATTGTAATTCTAATGCTTTGGTTATGCCCACCAACTGTTCGATAAAATGCATATGAGTAATTTGTTTTTATGGAACGTTTCATAATAGAGGAAGGCCGGGCTGCTGTTCGGCGGTGAATGGGGGTGGGGAAGGGGGGCTTCTGTTCATCGGGGAGGGGGCAGCAACCTGCTGTTCGTCGGGGAGTTGGGGTTCTGTTCGCCGGAGAGTTGGGCTGCTACCAGGGGTGGGATTTAGGAAGGAGGCTGGTTTTTTTTTTTTTTATAAATATTTTAGTTTTCTTTTTTTTAATAAAAAAAAATTTTAAATGGACCAATTAGAAGGTGACACGTGGCAAGTCACCTTTTAAAATAAGTTACCAATTTCACAAATCGGTGAAAGGCCTGTTTTGAAAATATAGCGGTTAAAGGTGGTATTGTTCTAGATTTCGAAAAAGTAGGATTATTTTGAGCAAAAATTGACAAAATTGAGATTATTAATTTCTATTTTTCTTTTTATTTCAATGAAATTAATTTTACTAAACTAAAATTATTTTTTGCTAAACTGAAATTTTTTTTTCTTTGTTTTTTTTTTTATAATATTCTCTTTAGTAACACCTAATTTTTCAATTTTCTCATTCGTAAATTAGGAAAAAAGTTACAAATTATCATCTTTTGCAATCATGAATTATTGTAACTAACTCACTTATGACATTAATGATAATTCTTTGGTAAAATTTTAACTATAGTTAGATTTTTTTATTTTTTAACAATTTAAATAGAAATAATTTTTGTTACAAAAACAACTCACCACTCCCCACAATCCAGCCACCTCTCCCCCCGCCAGCAACACAACCGCGGGCGCCCAATCCCACTCCCTCTCCCACGCCGGCGAACGCGGCCCCCTCACCTTCACCTTGACGTGCGGCCTGCGCCCCTCCAAGCCATCCCTGCCACCCCTCATCTTCATCCATATCTCCCCTCCCAAGCCCACCTCTGTCGCTCCCTTCCCCCAGCCGCCTGAAACTCCACCCTTTAAACTCCCTAAAAGCCACCTATAAACCCTCAAAACCCACTCAAAATTACAGCCACCCAAAATTCAAAAGTTTAGGAGAGAGAAAATACCAAGGAGAAATGGGACAAAAAGTAGTCTCTAAAGAACAAATCGAAGAATAAAGAATCAGAGAGGAGTAAATTGGAGACAAGGAACGCAGTTAAATCTTGAGGATTATGGTCAAAATCATCAAAAGTGTTTGATTGATATTAAAATTTGCAATTTTGCAAGAGGGGATGGCTGGTAATTTGATTTTGGTAAGTGTCCAATAATGTCACTGATAATAGGACTTTCCAACGGAAAAATGACCGAAGTGAGCTTTATTACTTTCCATAGTTGACGTTTGGCAAAACTATTTACCAAACTAAGTTTTTAGGGTAAAATGTCATTCAGGTTGGCGTTTTCACCCTGGCCAATTTTTAAAAAAATTTCAGTCAGGGCAAAAACGCCACCTTGGTTGGCGTTTTACCCTGACTGACATTTTTTTAAAAAAAATTGGCCAGGATAAAAACGCCAACCGAGATGGCGTTTTACAGTTGCACTAAAAACGCCAACTTGGTTGGCGTTTTTGTATCGAGTATATTTTCCAGTTTATTTCTGTTTTATCATTGTTCTCCAAAAAAAACAAAAACCCCCAATTCCCAAACCCTAACCCCCCGCGCACAACACTTCGCCAATTCCTCCATATTTGCAGCAAATTCATTATTTTCCATTGCTTAGATCTTCATCACACTCACTAAAAATTGTTCCTCCTTCTTTCTTTAACACTTTTACACAGTAAATTGATCGTATTTGAGGTATGTATGTAATTTAATTATTTTACTAGTTTTTGATGTTTTTTGGGAATTTATGTTTGTAATCTACAATTTATGCTCTATATTGTTGTTCAAATATGCGATATAAGTATAACTGCATAATACATTGTTGTTTAATTATTGAAATTAAGTATATTTATATGTATGTTGTT